CTTCATTGTTAGATGCTCACTGCCTTTCTTTGACTCATATCCCCATGTCCAGATGATTATCCTTAGTCTAACGGAAGGGAGACATCCAAAGGAGTGGGTTGTCCAAACATTGTCCAAACATGTCTCTGTTTGGCTTCCAAAAGTATCATGCAGATTTTCATATAACCAGATAATTTGTTCACTGCTCAGAACACTGAGAATTCTTCTCTAAGTGGCAGTCCAAATTTGGAAACCACAGCTGTTTTTATCAATTGAGTCATTGTGTTTCAGGTGCCAAAAATATCACCTATCATATTCTCCAGGGTTCAAGTAGGAGGGAAGAGAGAAAAAAAGAACAAGTAAAGGATAAAGGTAACATGAAGCTTCTTTAGTCACAGAAATTATTATTTAAAATAACTATTAGAACTGTAAGAATATCTATAACAGTTATAAGAACTAGCATTCAACTGGAATTAACAGAACAGCTTCCTGTGACCTTCTTAATCTCCCTAAGAGGGAGGGAACACAAGATTCTTAGCCTCTTAATCTTACAGAGAAAGAAAACAGACGAAAAACCCCAAACAAACAAACAGGGAGATCAAGTAACTGGCCCAAGACCACACAGCTAAGTCTGTGTTCTAGCTCAGGTCATCAGGCTTGAAATTCTGTTCTCTATCTCCCATTTAAACAGCTTCAGCAAAGATTTATCAAACTGCTTCTTCCTTAATGGCCCCGTGGGTGGGGCCGGGATGGTCATTAAGACTTCTCATAACTTCTATTAATAGAGAAGAAACAAAGATTCCACTTCTAGCTTTTGGGTGGGGGTTTCAGGTATACAGACATTAAAAACTTACTTGGCCCATCTCTGAGCTGGTTTGTGAGTTTTCAAGAAAAACATTGAGCCAGTCTGCCCAAGTTTTCACTTTGGGCTCCCATTCTCCAGACCTCCTCCCCAACTTCCCCACCCCAAGGATGTCAGAAACAATCAACATAATTTTTCATCAGTAAACGCTTGGTGACCCTGCTTTGGTCCCAGCTCTTGTCTCCTGAGGACAGGCACATTATGGAATTTGAGAGTGAGACTCTCATCCTGGAGGCTCTGACAACTGAGTCCAGGCTGCTGTGGCCAGTGGGAGGGTTACCTAAGAAGTCAAATCTCAGAGAATCTGTGACCCAGCAGCACTTCCCACAGATACCTATTTAAGGTATATCTGGCAAAAGCTTTGAAAAAGAGAATTGAGAAATTAAAACGCGTCAGGGGAATGATTTAAAGCTTGCAAATGAAACAGGGAGGATGGGACTGTGGCAGAAAGTATTTTGCAAAAATTACTACAAAAATATTTCTGGTCCTATATGCTTTTCAAGAATCTTGCCACTTGCTTATCAAGAGGAATTTATTTCTTCTCTTGTCTGAACTTTGTAGATCTTGGCAACTCCTTCAAGAATGTGGCTGAAGTGATGTCCTGTGACCTCTGAGGTTGAGTTAGAAAAGGTCATAGAGTTACCACCTGGCTCTCTCTCTCTCTCTCTCTCTCTCTTTGAAATGTATTCAATTTATTTCTCTACAACCCTTGAATCTCCATTCTGTTGTTGGGATAACGTAAAATTTTATCTTTACATTTTATATACATTTTCAAGGCAAAACTTGCTTACATAGCATGTAGCACGAGTTAATATTTATTTTAGTTATATGTGTGTGTGTGTGTGTGTGTGTGTGTATAAACAAACAGGGAGATCAAGTAACTAGATCAATCAATCAATCAATAAAAGGAAATATATATATATATATATATATACACACACACACACACACACACACACACACACATATATCCATATATATTTCCATTTATTTATTTATTTATTTTTGGCCCTCTCTCTTGAACATCTGAATTTAGAACCTTGGGAGGAAGACTAAGCTACACAGAGAATTCAAATGCAAGTTCTCTGGCTATCAGCCTTAGCTGAGGTACTAGCTGTTAGCTGGCATTACCTGCTAGATGAGTGGCCTGGCTGAGCTTTCTGGCCATTCTGATACAACCTTTGTCTCACCCCAGCCTTCAAGTCTTCTAGCTGAGGCTTCAGACATTGTGGAGTAGAGACAAACCATTCCTGTGCTGGGAATTCCTGGCCCATATAACCCATTGGCATAATAAATGTTTGTTTTATGCCACTAAGTTTTTAGTTAATTTGTTGCAAGCAAGAAGTAACTAGAACAGGAACCTTGGCTTGAGGGGATCTCTGGGCACATTCCTTTTGTAATAGTCAAAACGTTACCTGGGCCTGCTGCTAAGCCCTCCCCTTCCAGGTGTCTTCTATAGGTCATATCTTTCAGGGGCTCCATTTTTTAAAAAATTTTTTATTTGTTTTAATTAGTTATTTGCAATGGCACTGGGCTTTCCCACTTAAAGTTCATCAGACATGTTTTTAAAAGTCTGAATCTCAATTGTGCACAGGATTTAGCCTTTTTTTCCTTTGGCCTTGAGGGTTCTCAGCCTCTAGATAAAGCAAGCCCTAGATAAATCAGGAGGTAAGCTTAGTCACAATTTCGGGGTTTGAATGTTCTGTAACCATTAAGGAATATGCAGTGGTGAAGAGTGATGGAAAGTGGGGAGAAAGAGAAGAACCTAACTTCCAGCACCTCTGACTTACTTAGGACCTAAAGTCATACTTACCTAATAACACGAGCACAGTAAAACCTTCACTCTAGCACTGTGGTATCACTTCTTAATCACAACTCTTTGACTCAGAATTTTAAAAGCCAAGATAAAGGGAATTGACTATCTTGTATATTTTTGTACTCTAAACACTTAGAATAGTGCCTGAAACACGGTACATACCCAATAAATATTTGTTGAATTTAAAAAAGGACAAATTAATGAACAAATGAAAGAAAATCTTTCCCTACTTCTAGAGAGCAATATAGAATATTAGATTAGCACAGTGAGATTAGGAAGCTGCTATATTCAATAAATTGACATTCTGTTACAGTAGGTAATATGTTTCATGTTGCTCAAAGTAAATATTAAAACTTAAAACTGAGTTCTTTGAGGGCAGAGGCCACATTTTATTCAATTCTGTATCCCTAGCATCTGCCACTTTGCCTGGCACTTGCTAAGTGTTTAATACATATTTTCACTAATTGAATGTCAAACAGAGACTGGTAGAAATATTTTAAATCATTTACTTCCTCTTGCCTAGTAAATGGCAGGAGTCAGTGACAAAAAAGGATGCTGGCCAATGTAAGTGGTCCCAGGAGGAATTAGACTAGAAATCAGAAGTCCTGGGGTTTAAAATCTCATGAGAATAAGAAGACTCAAGAGACTGTTTGTAAACTAAGTGTGATATTTATTGGTGTGAATAGGAAAACAAGGTACAGACTTCCACTTTAGCTTTCAAAAGTGATTGTCTATGATTGCTTCAAATAGAATTTTCTTTCAGAGCTAATTTTAGACATGAACTATTAATTCATGTATCCATTTATTTATTCATTCATTCCATCTTTACTGAGTTCTACCTGTTGAGATTTGTTTTATTTGCTCAAAAGACAGTGCAGCATTCATAGAATCTCCATTTTCTAAAAAATAAACTGTCTGAGCAACAAAAGATATGCTATCTTATAGAGACTTGTGGAAATTATAGGCATAAAATCCTCAGAAGTCAGAATTAACTAATCCAATGTATCTCAAAATGTGACCCTAGAACAATATGCATGTAGAATTATTAGACCATTATTAAAGACAGATCTCTGTGATCTCTATTTTTAGTATAGATGAGATATAGAGATCTCATATACAAATTCCTGAGAAGAAGAAAACAACATAGTAAACCTATTCTTCCCTTGCTAAACTCACAATTTAGAAACAAACTATTAAAATATGTATTATTAAAATAGAGAACTTTTTAAAGCAATTTATAATTGCATTTAATTTTGAAAGAAGTATTAATTGGAGGATGCAGAAAACTTTAATTTTTTTAACTTTGAAATATTTCCCATGTGGACAATTTATTTCTTAATTTTATTTTTRTTTTAATTAATTTTTAATAGTTGTACATATTTACTGTGTGCTGTGTGATATTTCAGTACATGTATAAAACCTGTACTGATCAAATTACAGTAATTAACATTTCTATTTTTTTATCATTGTTTTATGTTTGGATCTTTCAAGATCCTGTCTTCATAAAACATATAACAGATTGTTGTGTACTATGCTCACCCCACTCTACTGTAGAACACTAGAACTTATTCTTCTTATTTAACTGTGTTTTGGTACCTGTTATGCAGCTTCCCCTATTCCCCTTCTTCTCCACTTTTCCTAACCTCTAGTAGTTATCATTCTATACTTTTCTAGTTGAAGATAAACTTTTTAACTTTTACAAATAAGAGGGAACATGCAGCCCTTGTCTTTCTGGGTCTGGCATATTTCACTTAATGTCCTTTAGTTCCATCCACTTTGCCATACATGACAGGATTTCATTATTTTTTTATGGCTAAAAGATATTCTGTTGTGTATGGAATGCTACAAAATTTCTCTATCTATTCATCTGCTGGTGGATAAATAGATACGAGGTTGATTTCCTATTTTGGCTACTGTCAATAGTGCTATCATAAATAGGAAGTGCAGGTAATTTTTTGATATGCTGATCTCATTTCCTTTGGATATATACCCAGAATTGGGCTAGCTGGATCATAACGTAGCTGTATTTCTAGTTTTTGAGGAACCTCACATTCATGTTCAAAATGTCTATACTAGCAATGTGTAAAAATTCCCTTTTCTCCATATCCTTACCAACATTTGTTAAAAGAAAGAAGTTTTGAAACCTTGATGTAGCATGTACAAACCCTTCTGAATTTGAAAAACAATAAACAGTAATCATCAACTGTGAGAGGGAGCTCTTGCCCCTAGATTGTACTGTTTTCTATACTGGTTCCCACAGTGCTGAAATACAGCTCAGACCCTGTTATCTTTTCCTTGCTTTATCCCCAAACTCACTCTTCTTCCCAGGATACTTTTACTCACTTTCTGAATTTTCCTAATCTGGTCAGAGAGTGTGTCTAACAGGCGAGTTTTCAGGAAGTCCATCACCTTGACCACCCGGCCATCAATGTAGCAACTGGAATAAAAATAAAATAAGAATCAGATAAAATCTTGAGCGGGGGGTTATAAGTATACTTYGCTAGTCAGAAGTCTCTGTTGCTGAGGATGCTGAGGAAACAGCCCAGGCATCCACCTGGCTCTTATCCTGGAAGGTTTTGATCCGGAGTGCTTTTCAAACCAATCATAGGCTTTTTATCCTCTCTATTTCCATTTTCATTTGTAGGATATACTGTGATAGTTTTCCCAACCTTTGTCATGTGAAAGTCCCTTGCTGGCTCTGTGAGAACTGACAGGAATTCCATAATACAACTTGGATACAGGAAAAAGCTGCATTTTTTTCCTTTGGGAAAGTGACTTTCTACTCATCTCTTTTCTCATCCCTATCCCTACCTTAAAGTGATAAAATATGTGAAGACTTTCCAAGGAATACTCACACATATTGATAGGTTTTCAAACCTTTAAATAAAATAAACACCAAAGTAGCAATCTGATTCAGTGCAGCAAGGAGCGTCTCAAACATCTCCAGCTCGCTTCCCTGGCAAAATACCTTAGTCAACCTTCTCCCACTACCGCTGGGATGAATGAATGAGTGAATAAATGAACAAGCATACAAATAAATAAGTAATACAAATTAAAGCCCAAGAGCCCCCTTCTGAAATAGTAAACAGTTGGTGCCCATTGGGTTTTTATTAGCTAAAGTGAAACATCAAGTGCTGACATGATATTGTGAACAGTTGACCTATGCAGCTTTATGGGGGCCTCCTTTTTGAGTCTCTTTTTCTGAAAACTAAACTGAGACTGGCCCAGGATATGGTGACCTTCATTACCTCAAACCTTCCCTCATCCTCATCTTTGCAAAACTGAATTGAACTGAATTGAGTCAGTTTCTAAACACTTATGATTCCTGGGTGCCTTTTATGACCCACTAAGGTCTCCTTGGCTGATGACTAGTGATAGATTTTTTTTCACCTTTAATAGGAGATCCACTCATCAGTACATATTATAGAACTATGTGAAAATTGTTTTTAATGTTAAATTCCCAAACAACATGTGGTATATTGGAATGGTTAGATTTTTAAACCTTTTTTTTTTTCTAAAATAGGTGTTTGGGTAAGTCCCACTTACTGAGATCCCCTAGGCCTCCTTTACCACTTCAAGATATTTCCACAGTATTCAATGTTTAAATCATTGGTAAGAAGACCTTACACAGTTACATAGTATCTATGGGCCTCAGTTTTCTTCTTTTCTTCTTCCTCCTCCTCTTCTTTCTTAGCTTCTTCCTGTGTGTGTGTGTATGTATGTGTGTGTGTGTGTGTGTGTGTGTGTGTGTGTGTGTGTGTGGTGTTGGGGACTAAACCCAGAGCCTCACACATGTTAGGCAAACATTCTAACACTGAGCTACATCTGCAGCCCTTTTACATTTTTACTTTGAGATGGGGGTCTCACTAAGTTGTCATTCTTCTGCCTTAACCTCCCATAGATGAGATTATAGGTGTGCCGAATCATGCCCAACTCAGTTTTCTTATTTTTTAAAAAGGGTTAACACATCTATTTCTCTGGATCAATTGCAAATTAAGGATATAACAAGACTAAAATACCTGGCATACAATAGATACCCAAATGCTTTTAGTTCTTTTCTACTTTTTCTAGTTTTCAGCTCACAAATATGAGGTTATAAGGAATAGAGAACTGATTAATGAGATTATGTGTAAGAATAGAGTTTTTAAAAAGTGGAAATGCTGTCCTAAAGGGTACATATTTCTAAAATTTTTAATGGTTACTTAGGGACTAAAACAAACAATGATATGGTATTTCACCTTATCCATGGTAAGCTAAGATTCAGATTCAACACATATTTATTATATGCAACGCACAGTACCAGGCATGGCCATTTCCTTAAGACCTCTTACAACCTCTTCCTGTTAGTCTTCAATATTAGCACATTTGATTTTTTTTTAAAGTTGAGATAGATGGTGTATTACATGAAAGCTAGGCATATTGTGACAGTGTAAATTAATAATAGTTTCTGCAATACTAATTTAACACATGGTTGAAGACATGAATATTTGTTATCTATCATACAGTGAGTAGGCATATGCCAAACACTGTAATCATTCTTTTATTATTTAATGATACATATAATTTCCTCTTGTTAGTTACCCAGTAAATAATATTAAGGGTCAAAATTCATAATTTTCACCAGCAACACATATAGTTTAATATATATTGAGATAAAAAATGCCAGATGTAGCTTTTCAGTATGTGGGATTCCCTCACTAGTCCACCTAATACATGGCCCAATGTGCAGCTTCCTTCACTTTTTTCCACCTTTCTTTTATCACTTTTCTCAAGTACATAGACTCTAGAATTAAAAAATCCTGGCTCAATCTTTTTGCCACTTACCCATGTGATACTATATTTCCCTTTCTTTAAGAGGGGTTTAAAAAGAATCCAGACCTATAGTATTTCCACAGGGTTACTTTACTGACCAAATAAGGAAAAATGCTGGCCACAGGGCCTGGCATATCAAAGATGAATAGCAAATAACTAAATCTCCTCTGTCAGGTTCCTTACCAATTAATGTAGCAGAAACTCAGAGAGGCAATGGGTGGGGTGTGCAGGGGAAGCCTCTCTCCAGAGAGGAGCATAATTATCCACTGTAGGATTTGAAGGAGAAAAGAACAGAGCAGGATTTCCAGCAGGTGGGAGGCAGAGGGAAGTCTATTGCCTGGTACTGTGTTTTTCTGGACCCAGAAAAAGTCCAATTCGTCCTTCATGTACACCTCAGAGAAGAGCACCAATAAAAACTTTGACTTGAGGTTTTAGAGCCTATTCTTGACCTATTTTTTAACCTACCAAGCTGAATTCAATGATTCTCAGTCGGTTTTGAGCTACTCCTGAATGCTGTGAATTAGATAACAGCAGGAAAAGCTACAGGTATGGAAACCAGTGGACAAAGTTATCTTAATAATGCAAGCAAGTAGTGATCTGGGTCTCAATAAGAGATCACAAAAGAAGTAAAAGTGAGAGGCTATGAAGGAAGAACTCATTGCCTAGTGAGGATGAGGGCAAGGAAAGGACTCAGGGGTATATGCTTATGTGGGCTAGTCAGTCTGGGGTACAGATTTTCAGAGGTGACAAATAGGATTCTGTTTGAGATACCAAAGATAATGCATTTTTGAGGAGTTACACAGAAAAATTGAGACATGAAATGTTGACCTGGGGCTCTTCTCCAGCTTATATGTAATGCATAAACCATGGCTACAGAGGCGCTCTCCAAGCAAATAAGGGAAGTTAACAGGGGTGTCAGAGACCCTTTGAAATGCTTCTGAAGTATAACCCAGGGGATTGCTGTCACCCTTACCCAGTTAAGGATCCCTTCCCATCACAGCATCTTAAAAAAATAAAAATAAAAAAAAATTTTTAGTTGTAGTTGGACACATACCTTTATTTATTTATTTTTATGGGTGCTGAGGATGCAACCCAGGGGCTTGCATGTGCTAGGTGAGTGCTCTACTGCTGAGCCACAACCCCAGCCCCTCACAGCATCTTTTAAATAAACTTGATCTGAGTTCAATTCACATTTGGGTGTCAAGGAAACCTCATATTATATTGATAAGATTCAGCAACTTTTCTTTACAACTTTGTACTTACATTTATATTGTATGGAAATAGGAACTTTGGTTACCAGAATTTGGTATTACTTTTAATAGAGGGGGTGATTTAAGCATTGAGTATGCATCTAATAAATTCCTAAGCCTCTTTCTTGACTCTTGAACAATTAGCTTTCTGAATTTATCCTTTGTAATGGTGAAGCTCCTAAGAAAACATTCAGTATGGGCAATCTGTGGCTATGAAAAAATTCCTTCCTGTTTCAGAGGTTTGGTTTTGATGGTGGCTCCCTGTAGTGAGGACCCAATATATCACTTAGATTTGGGCATGAAGGAGGTGAAGTAGTCTGTGGTGACCATTTGGTAACAGTTTGTTAAAAAATATAATATTGGTGATTTCTTTCTTTTCTTGTCTTTTTTTTTTTTTTGGTGGGAGAGTACAGAGGATTGAACCCAGGTCCTAGTACATGCTAGAGAAATACTCTATCACAGAGCTAAATGCCTAGCTCCAATGATGGTGATTTCTAACAAAGTCTGTGTAAAAGGAAGTGAGCTAAATTACGACTGAACATCCAGTGATCTGGGACCAACTCTCTCTGCTTTTCTTTCTCATTGGGAAGATAAACATGATTTTCACCTTTATCTCACCTTTATCTCTAGTTTCCCCAAGAGTTAATTAACTAATTTAGTAATTGCTACAAAGGACTCTGAAGACCAAATAAATTAGAGGGAAAAAAATTGGGGGGAGGAAGAGGGAAACGAATGATCAATTAGAGGTGTTCTGACAACTTCCACATAAATCCTGACAGAATGGTTTTAGAATCACCTACACTGCCTCTTTTAGGTATATCACGGTCCTCCTTCAAGTTTTCTTGAAACTTCAGCATCTCTTACAGTCACACCACTAGTGACTAAGCTGTTAAACTAAAAGCTGAAGCCAAGAAAGGCAGTGCTGTAATAACCTTTTTGGCAACTATTACAAATGCAATAAGGTTGAAACCTTCATGCATGATCAAATAATTTGTCTTGCTCATGACAGCAACCTTCATTTCTGTCTCCATATTGGCAGGTTTTATCAAGCATACATCATGGAGGTGGCAAGGACAGCAGAGTATACAAAGTAAGTTTAACCACTTCCAATTTATTTACCAACTCTATTGTCCATCTGAGATTTAAATTTTATTCCTTGTATAATACACTTCATTTTGGTTTATTTGAAATAGTGCTCTTTATTTTTTATTATAAAAGAAATGAATGCTCATTGTACACCAGTTAGAAAATAAGCACAAAATTGAAATATAAAATGAAAAATCACCTATAAGCTCAAAACCTAGAGAGAACCACTGTCATAATTTTCTATAAAACCTTCCAGAGCTTTCAAAGTTAATACATAAAATTTCCTCTA